TAAGTTTCTAGCTGTCTTTAGGAAAATGCATAAGGAAATTCATGGATGACTTCTTGGAGTTGTATATATATATATATATATATATATATTACCGTGTTTCACACAATTCCTGTGTTCTGCGTTTTAGGCGTAAATCGAATCTTTGGTTTATTTCACCAGCACTTCAATACCTAACTGTCATTCTTCATTCTTTACACAGGAGTGTGAGGCGTTTATGAGCAATATTTCAGGATTTCGAAATAATCCCTTGGATAAATGTACATATGATAATGAGAAGGCAAACACTGTGAGAGTATATCACTTCGTGATTGCTTTACAACCAGCTTATTTGACAATTAATCAGTTATATAACACTTAAAATTGTGTATAATTAACTAATCATACTTTAATCATCCAAGTAGCCTATCGTAGACAGAGGTTGGAGTCTCCCGTTTTCTGCACACACTGTTTCGATAGCAGTCAGCACTGGTGATCCATGTACCTTAAGTTGTGGCACGTCAAACTAGATAATTTAGGAGAAATTTTCAAGTAGATTCTTACTCTTCCTCACTTACTGAAAACATGGACAGGTTTCATAGAGTCATTCTCTATGATCAGGTCCTATTTTTCCAGGAGAGGCTCAAAGGTGTGTTGAATAGCAAGCTGCTGTTTTCCAGATGATAGCCATACCGCTTTCTTGATTATTCCTCCCTGTGTCTTAATAAAGGTATTGATAAAACTGCTGTCTGAAGAACAGAGTCTTGATCGTAATATGAGGATTGGAGTTTCTAGAGTAAGAATGCATTCACTCAGTAAGACTTGTTGTGAGGGAGATGAACAAAGACCGTTGCGAAATTGATGACAGTGAAATAGGAATCATGTTTGAAGTAAAGTATCTAGGAATCATTCCTTCTTCTGACCAATCCTGGTCTTCCAATGTCTTAGCGATTTCTAAAACAATATTTCGTCTGGCTTTTCACATTAAGAAGTTAAGGCACTCAGGCATAATCCAACCTCTCCTCTTACAGTTTGTCAACTTGTGCGTCTTACGTATTCTTCTTCACTACTCACCCTTATTCTTTCCTGGATTTCATAAAAAGGCTATGCTATAATTCGAAGGACTGTGAAGATTGTCAGTAGGGCGAGTGGCATCTCATTGGGCCATATCGTTGACACGGTCAATTACGGGCAAATTTGCTAAAGGAATTGTGTCAGACTGTGAGCATCCACAGCAGCACTCGCAGCTCCAAACTTGTATCTCCTCACGTAAAACAATAAGTCTTTTCAGAAGACTTTGTGCACGTACGTCTAGGTATAAAAATTCCATTATACCATATTTTGCACGTATTTTACGTGAGAAAAATAGTTTTAGACATGAACTAACTAACCTTCATTGCACAATTAAATAAACCATTTCCTCCACCATTATAACATCAACCTTTATTGTTATTGTACTTCTTATATATATAAGCCTCTAAATTTTGTGTTTATATTTGTTTATGTTTTCATAAGTGTGAACATCATTTAAGCTGTGTTATAACTGTTAATTTTGTATTTCCCCTCACTGAACTGTATCAACAGCACGTTACATTCAATACTCGATAACATGCTAAAATTTCCAAACTGAATCGACAAATCTGTTTGAAACAAACTCACTGTTATTACTATTATTATATTCAATATTCTCAAATCGGACATCGAATATTTTTGACTTGATTAAGTTAATGTGGACAGATTCCTCTGGTTATTTTTGTTTTAATTTTTATATTTTGAGTAAATGAGATACAATATTGTGAGAAATACTGAGAATTCCATTCTGTATTGTAACTACCGTTTTTAGAATAAAGCAGATTATTATTATTACCCTGTGTTACATACATACAAAGAATCACATGTGAAATCCATACAAATTTCGATAATTGCGACAAAAGTCATTTCGTGTGGAGCGGAATCAATTTGAGAATCAGATTGGACTACGATCTCTCAATATGTGTAATTCTGTCGGTATTAATCAATGAAATCGAAATATTTATGTGAAAATACATGTGAATGTTCTCAGAAGCAGCGAATCTAGAAACAAGTAGCTACAGTCAGTAAGAAGATTTCAGATACATCTCACTTCTTAGTTGCTCACTTTTGGAGGAGTACTAATGTGATGATTATCATTCCGACTTTGATCATATCCAGTTTACTTTTCGTTACTCGATAGACGCATATCAAAATGAATATTCTAGTTCATTAGTTAATGAAATTAATTATTTTGAAAAATGCTCAGCTGTGGTATCACGTAGAGTCACATACAACCAAACATTACAATGCGATAAAGTGCTACTAATTATATTTCCTATTACAGTTTGGAGGTGGAGATTGAGACCTGATACTTTATTCAAGTAATCAACTGAGAACTGGCTCAGTACGATTGACTGGACACCTATCTGAGACATCTGGAGAATTCTATTAACCAACTTTACAACAAACAGGGTAGAAGACAGTGAGAATATACAAATCGAGTTTCGAAGTCGTGTGATTATAGCTGATATGTTCTAAACGTCATTCAGTCGATGGAACTATTCTACTACTATTTGTGATACATCCAATAATCAAACTAGTGTGAGATGACTAACTGGAATAACTTAAAATTCTCCATTTGACAAAGGATTTCTGAACTAGTTCAAAATCAGAATACTTATGCGAGGAAGATCATTTTCACTTCCCCATTCAATTCCCTGGAGTGCTGTTTCTGATTTCATCATCACATAGCCACCCACCCTCAAATTCCGTGGAGATATCTGCCCATATGTAATTGTTTGTCTCATCAAGACTGAAATCCTTCATATTAATTCCATCCTCATACGTACACCCATTTGACAATTACTTCATTCGGGAATTATCTGTGAGAGAGGAGAATTATCGTTTCTGTACAGAACAATGATTTCATGTGATACAAGCACATACGAACCGTTTAACATGTCACATATAGTAGAATTCTGATGCTACTGATATCATCCTTATATCTCTGCAATATCCTGTCTCCAGCCAAATGAATTCACATAGACACATTGCGAACATCTTCATTGGCCTGAGTCATTCATTGTCAAACACAAAATTTATCGTCTATGGTGTCGCACACACACACATACACGAGACTACTCATATCATTTGTAATACTTCAATAAGTTCTAAAGCCTACAAAATATCACTAATGAATTATTATTCGTATACCCAACTGATTGGTGAACTTTTCAAGCATAGGCATTCAGGTGACACATTCGCGCTCCACTGAAACCTTTCACAACTATGTATCTCTCTTCCAAAATTATATGAAAGTGTGAGTCTCTCAATAGAACATATTTCTCTGACAACGTAGATCGATTGAGGCACTCACTTATGCTTGTGGTATGCTAGGCTGAAAATTGCATGACCGCTCTCACATTAAAATGTAATCACTGACAAGGTATTCATTGTATTCAGAAAAGGTAAGTCGTCTTTCGACCACTGTATTACTCTTCTTCTTCCTCGCCTTCTCAGAAATGTTGAAATGTACGTCAGTTTGAAAAACAGTGCATATTTGAAGGTGTTGATGCTTACAGGAATATTTTGTCTGTTTTTCCCAGCGTCTAAGACGGTTTGTTTTCTTATGATGGAACACACTTCTTATTAGAAATAGAAACAATGATTAACATTTCGTCATGAAGAGGAACTAGAAATCACAAAAATCAGAATAAAAAAGAAGATGAGTGACATCGTTTTATTCAACTGTCTACCAACAAAATAAGCTGGAAGAGGAATTTTACAAATTAGCCGTGTATTTTGTTTCTCTGAAGAACCATGCCAAAGTGATTTCGAGAATGCCGAACATGCTGACCGTACAAGACCAAATGACGAACGCTATGGTAAATTCCATGGCAATGAAATCCACCCACCAACCGATCAGGTCATAATTATCGACACAAATGAATAAAAACTACAATGTAGAGAAAGAGAAAGATTCTTGACAGAGATGAGTGAATACAGGCGATCATCTCAACTGTACATCAATTCATATTTCACCATATTAAATAAATTATAATAATCTAGCTAATGTGAAAAGATTGTTTTCATATGATGAGATATAGACACCTGAACCAATGAAGAATTCTCTACACTTTCACTGTTGCCTTCCAGATCAAACATGAGCAGATGATTCTAGACTTGGTTTTGTAATAGACGTTGGCGGTAGTTTGATAAGAATTATTTCTCGAATAATTTTAGTCTTCCAGATGTGTATCTTGTGATATGTATCGCTTTCAGTGTTACATACAGCCTCAGTTTGCCTAGATCATATTATCTTTTATCCTCCAACCAACTAGACAACTTTATTACAGAATCACTACCAGACTCATGGATTGGTGATAAATTGAGACTAATGTCAGTTTGTTGTCAATACTGTAATCGAAATTCGGTTCACACCTCAAAGCTGATTCCGAATTCAGAATGATGGGTCAAGTGTGTTTTCATTCATTTCACTATTGTCAGTCTCACATGCACAGTGAGGTTGTTGGAAATTTCTAAATGTAAGTGCGTAAGGCTGGTGAGGGACTATGAAATCATTGACAAATAGCATCCAATCTAAATAATACAAGCTGTTTAATAATCCAGCCATTTCCTACACACACACACACACACACACAACCCGAATTCATATACGACAATCACTAGGAGTGGGTTGTCGAATTATATAGGATTCGCATAAATTCGAATCGTGACATCTGCACTCCAGTAAAAAAGCTGGATTTTGGCATAAGTTTAGCGATCCGTGAAGTGCAACATTGTACAACGTCATCTTCACTGGAAATACACCCTCGAATATCGTGGATGTGTTCACTTGCTTAGTGATGTAAAATGAACACAAATCGACTCAGCGATACTGTGATTCACATTGGAATTCTGCGACTATCAAATAACTGATGTGAATCGTGTAAATTACTCGTCAAAATAAACATGGTTGATACACCGATAAAATGATAAAATGACAAACTTACGAAGAGTATGAATAATATACAGAAAGCTTCTGCCAGTAAGACAATTATCTGCGTGGAAAATACGAGGAGAAAGAAATAAATCATCAGAGAAGAGGTACACTCACATGCTTTGTTAATCTATGCAAATTACAACATTGACATATCTGCTGATCTGAGATCTGTGAACATTGACTACTACGAAAATATGCTGACAGTTGAATCACAACTGTCAGTGACACTGGCTGTATGCGGTAACGCTGAAATATACGAATATATGCCATTCAATCAATATAAACAACTTCTGCATCACCTCACATTTTTATCTGACAACATAAATGTGATTATTCACTAGGCCAATTCAACTACAGTCACATCTCTGTTAGTCCAATATATATTCCGTGGAATGTGACAGTCACACCAGAGAAATGTTGCCAAACGAGCTATATTCCATACATATGCAAGGCAAAGAAATTGACTGTAGACAGGGTTTAGTGCAAATATATCAAGTTGCTCATCACTCTTCCAATCAAATTATAGAATTTGATTAGACAGCCTGAACGACAAATGTACCGGGGTGAAATGATGCCATTCTTTATCGTTTCACGCCTTACACTCAGCTGGCTGAAACCTGATGAATCCAAAAGTATGGAGTATACGGAAGATTTCATGTAGTTGTGAAGCGATGATAAACAGTTGTGGATGGGAACTATTACTGACATTATCCCGGAATGATGTAGGCTGTTAAATATGCTCAATAGTCACTGTTAGCTCATTAAAATGTAAACAATATTTGACATGCACGAAAATGAGGATGCAATTGGTTTCCTAACTAGCGAAAATGACCTTTACATAAACCAGCAGGTCAGAAGTAATCAGACTGACTTTGAAATGAGAAATTGGAATCTTCTGGAGTGAACGAGAGGCGTCAGTGGAGAATTCATGACATGATTGACATTCTTATACTTCGTTTTGTAAGTTTAGTGGGCAGGATAGTTCAAGGTCTACCACTGGCTATTTTTGCTGAATGGAGACTGCCTAAGGAAACTGGAGCAATGAAGGTTTCTTTTGCCAGGCTTCTCCTAATATTCTCCTAATATAAGATTCCGCATTCGAGTAATTCGTCAATGGTACTCCCATCAATTGTTCCTTGTCACCGCAATAGGAGTATTTTTAAATCTTCCATGTGATTGATACTCTCGTACTGTTGAGGCTGTAGCCATTATAGAAGAGACTGTGAAATAATAAGAGCAACGTTAGTCTTAGTATGAACAATATTCTTATAAGGCACAAAAGTTTCGGTGGAAAGAACCGCATAATAGTTTCCCCTTGTCCAGGATCTTTATATACACTAGCAAGTGACAGTAGATCGTGCGACACATATCTGTCTGGCTTAAAGCGCGAACTAATTCCTTATCAAATCTCTTCCTCGTTTCATTCACGAGGTGACGTCATCTCATCGTATAATATTTGTCGTTCCTGGTTCGCTTTTCCTCACTGGAGGAATCAAATGAGATTCCAAATTGTGGAATTAATACTGGAATTCAGATGCAGTGGGATTTTTCTGAATGAAGTGAAGATTTCATATCTTTTGATCAATAACATACAAATAATTTATGCATTATAGACACTAATTTATGCAATTACTTGTTGTTTGAAGAACACATAGAAAACGTTCAAGGTGACTCCCACAATCGCAAAAGTCCCTGCCACTGAGTTAAACACTATCAGCCCCTTCAGATTCATTTGAGGCAAGAGCATAGCCGTCACAACTATTGGAATTTCCACCACAAGTATACAGGCGAGAGATATGAGTCCAGCTTTCAGTCCAACAGGTGACAAAAGAGCAGCCAACAACACAGACAACAGCACAATCTATGACAAAAGAGAAAGCGAAATGAGAACATGTGATCACACTGGATAGATTCATAGACATATAGAAACACAAATATTTACAATGACCACTGAAAATACAGTAAATTCTCAACCCTGTATGGACAATCAGATAAGCCACATTCTCATCACTCACAATCAATCACAAATAAACGATTCGTTCGAAGTCACTGTCATTCTGTGAACTATGGGTCATCCTACAATGCAGTTAGCTGCATGGGCCGACTAATTACCGCCTGACTACTAGGATGAGTAAGCCTACAGCAGTTCGGAAAACGCTTCATCTGATTTCTCACGAGTCTGTTTAAGATGTCTGTTGCTTCGACTGTTAGAATGAAGTAGACCATCGATTGTCCTATGCAAGGTCATGTAGTTTCTTCAGTGAATTATCTAATGAAGAGAGTCATCAAAACTCTTATTGTGAGTCATGCAGAATGAACATTTCGAGACCCCCAGTTTATTCATTCCTTCAAGCTGTCCCTCAGTGCGCACCTCCTGTTTATGCAACAGCTGGATTTACGTTTCCACATTTACGAGTATCTAAGAGACAACCTGCCTCAGCTTTCGGGTCCTTTCTCATGCGCAAGTAGTAAAATCATCCAGTCGTTGTCACATCGCCAGTAAGTGAAATAATGAAAGTGATGTGTGATGTGAATCACAGGGATGATCACCTTGACGAGGTAGTAGTGAGTATATACCCATTTAAATACCACGCCAAATGACATCCATTCAGTCAAAAACAAGTTAGCCTACATCCTCAAAATTTCTTGTATGGCTTATAATGTGACACTTACCACAATTGAAAGCATGACATAGACACCAACTCGTCGCGATCGAATTTTTTCCACGAATAAGAATATCAGGAGCACAAGGAAACCGACTCCTCTGAAATAAATTCACAAACATCAAAAATTTGTTTCAGATACTACACAGTTAATCAGAATTGTGCGTTATTTTGTTTGTTGCATCACAGTTCATAACAATCAAGTATGAAGAAGTTGCATTTTGAATAGAAAGGGTTTTCAGTGTGATGGTCTTGGTATATTGATGCCATTCTTCGTTTGCGACGTCAATTTCGCATTTGTCAAACTCTTCATTGGCGCAGTGCTTCATGCCATCACTCGTTCTCTTTCACCGTAGGCGGAAATCTCTGATTTGATGATATAGTAAACCTCACCGTTTTCTAAGGAACGGAAAACATAAATGTTACGGTTCCTGGCTAAACCTCTCTGCTGAGTCGACAAATGAGTGAAAACAACTCATCGCATGCGGTTCACAAATGACATGAGAATATGAAAGCAAGTCAGAAGAGACTGCTGGGTTTGAAAATTTTCCCTTTCTCATGAGCCCTTTAAAAGGGGATAATTTAACTTAAGGTTAGACAAAGCGAACTTAGTTAAGGTTGTTGTCGAATCGAAAATATTTTATGATCGGTAGAAAAGACGTTGTTGCAATACAAACTGTGATCAATATTTGACTGAATTTTAGTCGCCGAAAACACAACAGAACTCAGATAAATTATTTCAACCTCATCAGGGTGAGAAAATATTCATGGAAAACCGTAGTAGTGAATTCTGAGAAAAAGATGAGGAGACAGAGTGAAGGGACAGTTTGCACAGATAAAAAGCTGAAACAAGCAAAATGTCCGAGTGGTTAAACGAGGAAATCGAAGTGTCACTGCAGAGATAACTTGCACCAAAATGTTTCCATCAGCGAGGATTTTATGAATTTCAAAATATTTACAAACAAGATCATCCATAACGTCTAGCTGTATTACCTACTAACTCTGTAACACACAACCTCTCAACATACACTCCTTGAATACCGAAACTAAATGAAATGCAAGCCGTATAGTGAGTATGGAATTTGTATGAATCTAAGAGCAGAACTGCATCAATTTATATTGGATGAGATGAGATATTTCCCAGCATTCTTCATTCACAAATTTCATGCAGTGGACTATGCGTTCGATGTCTTTCAGGCACAGGAGAAATTATGAATTCATTAGAAGTGTGTTCAAATCAAACAGTGTTCAAATATAGAGGAGATTTCTCACGTGAAACAGATTTCTTGTTATGGACCAACTAGTATCTCCCTCACTGACCAATCTGTGCATCCTTTCATTGGAAACAGCTGCAATTGTGAGATGCTCTGATCGTCCAAGTAATGGAAATAACAATGTTGGACATCATTAAATGTAGAGTCCCAGGTGAAAATCTTCACCTGATAAACAACATACCAAACAGTTTTAAGCTTCAGAAGTATGTTGAGCCGTTTTCCCACCTAACTGATGTTTCTTAACTGGTTTGTTTGACGACAACCAGATGATAGACAAAAACTTAATATCATCTGAAAGCGAAGACATTCGGACAGATACGACAGTTATTATTGTCATTATTATTCGGCGAATCTCTTTGTCACTAAAGTGACTGTTCTTAGCTGAACAACTATTACCTGGAGTTGAAGTGAGCCACAGAAAGTTGAATTTGGTTGTTAACTGACTTACGTTGATCCACTGTCATGTCGTCAGTAGTCTGACGGACGCGGAAAGTTTGAACTAATAAATCAGGCCTCCTCCATGGTTATTTATAAATAAACTTGGTCCTGTGTGACTACTTCTACTGACCGTCAAATAAAATACAAAACTTCCCAGTGCATGTCAGAACATAATCAGACTTGGTTATCAAGATGAGACAACGATTCAATAAGATCAAAGCAAATGATTAAATAAATAATCACTGAGAAGACGTTTATTGAGTACACTATTTCTGGAAAGCGTTTCACAGAACATTAGTAACGCAGAAGACTTCAGTAGTCATGGACATCACAATAATCAATATCATATGTCAAGAATCCAACTAAAGTTTCGTCATGAATATTATTCATATGGTGACATGATGCAAACCATTTGTCAAGATTTTATTCGATAATTTCGCTAAATCTTCTGATCAGCTGATATCTCAAAGTACGAAAAAGTCATATTTGTAGAAATAATAATTGACAAATAATTCCAACCTCTCACTCGACAGATTGGAAATAGTGGGAGAGAAAGCATCTAACCTGTGAATAACAAGGTGCATCTGGGCCCCAATATCGCTGACAAAATCAGTACAAGCAGTTCCATGTAGGGTCTCTTTTCGATAAAGTAATCAAACATATTTGACTGAAAACAATAAGATCGCGTTGAACGATGCACAAATCTGGCTCCACAAGAACAGGTGAACTGACGTGTGCACATAGAAGTGGTCCGATGTGAGATCTCGTCCTTTAGGCTCCTCCACACCAGTGGCCAACTGACGAACAGCAGGCTTATCGTTTCTGTGAAGAAAGTTCTCCTCGCTGAAACCGGAACTCCTCTACTAAGAACGTCAACAATTAGGTTGCCGTAAAAGTCAAAGTTCATCTTAGCTTTCGTATCTTGCACAGATTCCATATTCAGCCTTTGAATTTTTGGCTTGACCTTCTCGACAATAAGCCTCGGTGTATGTCCATTTGGGAAGATTTCTTTCTGAAAAGTATAATTCTTCTTCCAGTACATTTGAGCTGTAGATGTGTGGGACGTGAGTGGCTAGAGAAATACTTTGCCTCAATTCACCTTCATTTAGTAATCAGCTGTAGAAACTTATCAGTTGTCAGTTCAATGTGGTTCTCTTACTGACCGTTCCTCCTAATGACCAGTAGGTTCTTCGTGTAAATTCAACCTCATGAAAAGGAATTGAAGATTCATCTTCTTCTGAAACAGTGAGCATTGTCGGTGGATTACAGCTGTTGAACATGTGTAACACTAGTAATTGTGATCATGACTATCATCAGGGTTAATAAAAATGTCATCCACATATCCAGGACACAATGGAAACCTATCAATATTTAACTTACGTGGACCATTCCTGTTACTTGTCATGAAACAGGCTGCTTGCAACGAACCCACGTGAGATCTAAATGAAATCCCATATTTTTGTCTGCAGAAGATGTCGTTGTTCGTGAATGGAACATAGTATTTCTTTGTTTCCATGTGCATGCATATCAAAAGTTACATACTAACTTTCATATCTTACTATGTATTTCTGTCGACCTTGTTCAAATTCTTATATGCGCTCATTAATATGACCACCCATCTTGTGACCATCCTTCCCTTTTTCTCCGTTCAGTTTAATCGTTCCATGTAAGTTGCCAACGGATGGATCCTTCTTAATGCGACCATTCAATTAAAGAAAACGAATTAATTGAAAAGATACTCTACGCTGAACTGCTTGTATTGATTTTGTCAACGATATTAAGGCCTAAATGCACCCTGTTATTTATACCTTAGACAATTCACCTTCAATCATTTCGAATCTGTTGAGCGAGAGGTTTGAATTATGTATCAATAATCATTTTTACAAATATGACTTTTCGTTAAGTTGAAATATCAGGTGATCAGAAGTTTTAGAGAAATATTCGAATAAAATCTTGACAAATGGTTTGCATCATGTCACCATATGAATAATATTCATGACGAAACTTTAGTTGGATTCTTGACATATGGTATTGATTATTGTGATGTCGACTATTGCTGGAGACTTCTGTGTTACAGATTTTCTGCGATCGTGTTTCTACAAATACTCTGCTCTAGAAAATTCATTCCAGTGATTATTGTATGAACCAATTGTTTTTATATCTATCCTTGGAGCTTAATTACTCACTTCAGTGAAATTCAACCTTATTAGCAAAATGTCTAATGGATGATCTTAATACATATTAGCGCCAGACTCTCCCAGACCTTTAGGCCTTGATATAAATTGAGACTTTTCTTTTGTATGCATAGTTCTAGTTCCACCAACTGGACGGCTAGAGCTTCTGCGATGCAAAGCTCTAGCCATCTAGTTGGTGGAACCAGAACTATGCATACAAAAGAAAATTATCCAACCACTTCTACTCGCATGGTAATAAATTGAGACTCCCCTATTCCTGACAATTCAGTAAATACTAATTTAGTTCTCGGGTGTGCTGTGAAGTGGATTACTGCTCTGTATCACAAATGAATTCCACTTGTCAAGGTGCGAAGAATTCAATCGAACATTCGATAAATAATGTTGAGCAATGAACTTACATAATAATAAAATTTACCCAAGAATTCCTTTCGAAGAATTGCCAAATCACGCCCCTACAAGCAAGATAATATTTCATTGGAAAATTCTATCTGTTCTTACACGAAAGTGAATAAGAGAACAACACCAGCTGTCACCATTATCATAATAACTGTATCTATTAGGATCTAAATATAAAATTACTCATTCATCAATCCATTTTCATCTTACCCAAATGTAGAAACGTGAAGGGGTATACTCGGAATTCCCATACGATGCATAAAAACGTGGCATTTTCCAATGAGCTGCAAATTGACGAAGAAAATGATAGACAACAACGACGCAGAAGTAACTTAATCACCTCAGAATATACATGATGAAAATGGACACAAAGATTTGACTTTCCAAATATGCCAACGGAGAATATGGTGTGGATATGACTGTCAGATTATTTGAACATAATTCAGGTTCCATAACAATTGAGATATACGCCTGTTTGCTAATGTTGATGAGTCGGAGTCAGTGATTATATGGAAGAGTGTGCTCTACGAAATTGAGTGGGTTGGAGAAAATCTCATTTGTGTTTCTCACACACGATATCAGCTTTCAGGAAACAGCCTACTGGAGTTTCTCTTCTGCACCATCAGTGGAAAACTGGTTTCATTTGGCCATATACACAGAGTCAGTATATGCATTCAGGTATCAGACGATGACACCTTGCCACAAGACTGGGGAGGATAAATGCGAACATCTTTTCGCTATATCACACCTCACAGAATTCTGAGTTTATTAGACAACTAGTCATCACACCCTCACATT